TATATATATATATATTCTTTTTTTTATCAGATTAATTATATTGAACTTTATTAATGTTACAATTATTAAACTTGTTTCATTTAATAATTTATTGTTAGCACAAGACATATATTATGTTAGGAAGATTTAAATATGAACCATACCATTTAAGAAATTATATTAATTGAATAATTAGGTTATTAAAATAAAAAATTTAAATTAAATTATATATTAAAATTATCTATGACTAATAATTAATAGGCACCTCAACCTTGTTCAGTCTAACACCTGTTTGAATGCAGGTAAATAGATACACTTCGGAATAAAAATCAAGGCAATATTAATGGCTGCCACCTGCCCTAAAAATGGAGAAAATATTACATTTGATAAACCCGACGTATGGATGATGAAATGAATTGAATTAAGATGAGTAGTTCGCGGCGTGATATGATCCATGTTGTCATTCATCATTCACACGTAATATTTTCTCCTAAGAATAGCATATTGCAATGCTTATAGCTAACAATCTAAAGAAATTATAACTCAATCCTCCCAATAGAGCCTGTATATATATACTGTGTGTGTGTGTGTGTGATTAAAATAGTTTTCACATTATTTTATCTACAAATAATAATTTTTCATCATTCTTTCCAAAGTACTTGGAATAAGCTTAATCTTCTTCTTTATTCAATTTTTTTTTTCTGGCCATTCCAAATTAATTTTATTGCTCCTTATAGTTGCATCTTCCACTCTAAATAATATGTAGAAGTCGAAACTCACATGTCAAGATATTATCTGCTTTGGCTTAATAGCTTCATAATTGTCTCATTAGTGTAATTTCCTTGAAAGTTACACATCCCAAAAGTGCTCCTGTAAAAACACACATAAGTTTGAAATTCCAACCATTACACCAAAAGACACCTCAATATTTAAGAGTTTATTTTCAATACTATTTAAGAGATTTTACAATCTTCCTCACCTTAAGTAAGTGACATCCTCATCAATTTTCTTAACCCAAAATCATCCATCATGCAAATATAATTTATAAAGGTAACCCCTACAGATTTAAAAGGTGGCTCCCACTATGTAAACTTTATCTCATTTAGGGTATAAGAAATAATTCTTATGGTGTAACATTTTATTTTGTATGATATTTAGCTTCCAAATTCAGACTGGGGTAACAGTCCAGCTTGAGGTCCAACTTGAATACTCACTAATCAGATAATTGTCAAATTTAGCCTAATAGCCTTACAGATTCGTCCCATTAGTGTGACTTCTCGAGAGGTCACCATCCCAAGAGTGCTCCTACACGAGCATATTTAACTTTAGGGTTTCTAAAGAAATTCCAACTATCAAACCAAATGACATCTCAATGTCTAAGAAGCTGGCTTCATACTACTAAAGTAGGTTCACAAAATATATATCAAAATCATATGAAAATAATCCCACCACCATACCTTAAATAACACAAAAATTCAAATATTATTACGCTGAAAAAAAAAAATTAAGGTTGCAACAAAGTTTATGCATTATCATAAATGATAAAAGTAAAATAATTAATGCTTCACAAAAATGTTAATCTAACTTTCTTTGAGCTACTTTGAACAGTTTTAAGATATTCTCGTACACTACAAATGTGAGTGAGGCTGATGGAATGTTTTTCAGTAAGCTGGATGTGATTCCTCTGTAGAACCCTCGCACACCTTCAAATCTGCAGCATCCAACAAACAATAAGTAATAAGAGAAAAGGAATCAAGTCATGGAAAAATTTTTGGAACATAAATCAATTGAGTTTACATCTACAGTCATTAAATTTATTTGTATCATATATTAAACTCATCTAAAAAAAAAAACAAATTAATTATTAAGTAAAACTTAGCAAATATGGCCTTCCAGCAATTTGATGTTGATGAAAAATTATTCCATACGGACAGCGTATGCAGAATACGTTGTCCGATCTCCATCGTCCATTAGACCAAACTCGCGGGAAACCTCTTTTTTTTTTTTTTTTAAAAGAAAATCTGATGGACGGTGGATATCGGACAGCGTATGCATTTCTGCATACGTTGTTCATATGGAATAATTTTTCTTGATGTTGGGGGTGCATTTCAAAAAAGGGAAATTTACATACGTAGCACACAATTCTTATGTATTTACATATCTCAAAAGTAAACTCTCATATTTACATACAACACCTTGGTACTTTAATCCTATGCATCAAAATGTGTATTTCACTCTTAAAAAGTGGTAATAGAACTATTTTTGATGTGATATTAAAGATTTTAGTGTTATGTGTGTAAATATGAAAGTTTAGATGTGAGAGATGTAAATACATAAATGCCCCATATAATTTTTATGAATTTATATGTAGATGATACTTAATCATTCATATGAAAATGTTATGTATCAATGTTTAAGTGAATATTAAATATAAACATACTATGTATCCATACATATAGGTGATGCATAATTAATGAACATTATGCAATCATGTGGTAGAAATGAAAACTTAGAAATCATGATATTTTGATAATATATTGCTTAAAACAAGAAGCCACGATGTAGATGAATTACCCTTTATTTACATTATTACCTTCAATATATATTTCCTACTTAAATAGGCAACCATGACTTAATGCATCATGCATGTGTTGAAATGAATCATGCTACTTGCATTGACTTCCTATGGAAATAGGAATGTTATGATATAGCAATTTAAATTATATAATATTGTGATGAATCATGGTTATTTCTATGATTGATGCAGTTGATGTTATAATGAATTGACAGAGAATGCTTAGCAATATTTATCTCTTTATAATACGTAAGCATTCCAATTGGATGAAGGTGTCATACAAGAATAAATGTAAATTGTGATAAAGATAAAGTCACAATTGATGTTTATGTAATTATAACAAGATCAAATAGCATGAGATATTAGTTAAATTAATAAACTAGGAAAAGAGTGTCGAAATAGACCCTGGACTCTTTGAAATGGACCATTTTAATTCCAGAGTCTATGAAAATATCAATTTGGTCCAAAACACTTTTAATATGGGCTGAAATAGTTCCCGATTCTCATAGATGACTATTTCAACCTCAATTTAAAAATCTTAGAGTTAATTTGGCACTTCTATACACTTTGGGACTGAAATGGACCTCTGTAATCGTGAAAAATGAATCATATTTACTGATTTATAAATTAAAGGTCTGTTTGGCACAACTAATCCGCCGCGTCTGCGTTTTCAAAATGTCTCCATGTCGTTTGTTTTCTCTGTCTTCGGTGCGTTTTGCAATACACTAATTTTGTTTTGTAATAAATGTCGGTCGCAGGTCCAACTCCGCAACCCGTGCTTGGAGGAATTTTCTTACCTCGCTACCCTCCCGTCGCGCTTGCCCTCATCCCGTGCCCTAGGTGCCTCTTCGATCCTCTCCTCTGTCCTCGTCCTGTGGCTTCAATCGCTAAACAAGAGCTCCCTCTTACGGGTCTCTCACATGTCTCTCTAGATTGCTGCCTTTCTCCTCCTCTCTGCGATCCGTGGTTGTGGTGCTCTGTAAGTATTGTTGTCTTTCTTGTGGTGATTTTCAATGGAATGGTTTTTCTATGTGTTTATTTGACTCTCTCATTTGCTCTGAGAAGTTTGCAGTGCTCTGTGAGTAATATCATGCTCTTTCTTGTGGTGAAGTTCAAAGGAATGGTTTTTTTATGTTATTTTATTGCTTTCTCCTTTTTAGTGTTTTCTCTCTCGACTGTTGCCTTTAGTTGGGTTTGGATGTTAGGCTTGGGTGTTGAACTTAAATGTGTGTGCTGGCAGTTGGTGGTTGTTTCATGCTTGGAGTGCTTTCTTCATATTGTTTCTTTGATAAATAGAATGTTTGATGAAGAAACTAGGAGAACAATTGGTTTTGAATATTCTCCAGACTTTAATTTTGTTGCTTAATGGAAGTGATAATTCAAAGGTTGAATTTATATATTTATTGGCAAATGCAGTAAAAGCATGATATGTGTATCTTGAATGTGCTACCAAAGACTAGTAATTCACAGCCGCATTTTGGACTAGATGCGCTCCAACAATTCTTTTGTGTCTCTCTACTGTTGCCTTTGGTTGGGTGTTGGTGATGCAAGCTGACTTGCCATCTTGATGCTGCCTTATCTAATGTTAGCCCATAAATATAACAATCATGATAATTTCTGCCCATCATAATCAGATAATAAAGACAATGCACTGGTAGCTCGATCAAATTCCTTTCATTGGGATAAGGAAGTGAGGGATTACTCGTGTTGAAAGGGCTCTTCTGGATATGCATTTTTTTTTTTTACTTTGGGTTGTAATGCAACTGTGATGGGGGGTGGGTTGTGGTTATGATGGGGATGGTTTCTGCCTGGTTGGTGGTTGTCTTAGGATTAAGTTGTGGCTATGTGGGAGTTTTGATGAAGCTGTGATGGAGGTGGGTTGTGGCTGTGATAGGGGGTGGTTTCTGCCTGGTTGGTGGTTGTCTTAGGACTGGGTCGTGGCTGTGTGGGGTTTGTGATGGAGCTGTAATGGGGGTGGGTTGCGGCTGTGATGGGCGTGATTTCTGCCTGGTTGTTGGCTATCTTAGGAGTGGTTTGTGGCTAAAATCAAGTATGTATGGTGGAAAAAACCATGAAGGCGTTGAGATTTTCATTCTTTCTATATCAACATCATCATCATCAGCATATTTTGGATTGAATTTTTGAACAGATTTTCGTTCTTATGTTTTCTTGTTTTGGTTTTTAGGGTTTTTTGAGCTTATAGATTTGTTTTTCTTGTAGCTTTCTTTTTTTATCTTGTTTTTTGTTTTACTGGTTATATCAGTTTCTTTCATGATCCATTTCTTTTATTAGTAACGTAATGGTTAAAACCAAAAGAAGTGACTTCAGCAACAATGTGGGATAGAGAAGTCACAATCATATTTTGCAACCTCTATATTAAAGAAATTGAGCTTGGAAACAGACCAACCACCTACTTTAACAAAGAAGAGTGACAGAATATTACAAAAAAGTTCCATGAAATGACAGGAAGGGACTACAATAGGTTAAAATTTAGGAACACTTGATACTAACTATTATATGAGGTGTGCATTTTTTTTTCTTAGTGTTCTAAAGTGGTTTTTTTGCTTCTCAACTATCAGATGTATCGCTATGACAATTTAGTTGCAAACAACACTACTGCATAGGGGTAGGATAATCATTTATTCAGAAATAACTGCAAATTAGTTGTTTTTCAAACGCACAAACCAAATAATCAGTCAGTTTATCCGGACCAGCTGTTGATCAACAGCTTACCAGCTGCTTATCAGCAGATTATTAATATGCTTAAATAAGAAGTATAAATCTAATTATTATAATATCACCATGCTTTGTGATCTTGGTGGTAGGAATGGAGAACAAAATTTCAAACAAAAAAGATATTCTAATTAAAAGTCTCAACCAAAGTAACTATCAAAACAACATAAAAGATCTTTTTATATGAACAAAAGAATAAAATCCTAAACAAGATCTCTTTATTCAAGTATGAAAAACCAGCTGCCTTGTACCCATGAGAGGCTGACCCTCCATACTTTGTCGTCTAATGGATGAGTAAAGAGGCGTAGTTGATTTTGGAATATTTATCTATAAATGGAAAGGCCAATCATTCAACTTGGGTGCTTATTGCACAATCATATCTGACAAAAATATAAGGGAAATTAACATATGTAGCACACAATTCTTATGCACTTACATATCTAGCACCTAAACTTTCATATGTACATACATATGACTTCGGTTCTTTAAGCCTATGCACGAAAAGATGGGTTCCACTTCTTAAAAAGTAATAATAGTGCTATTTTTGATGTGATATTAAAGATTTGAGTACTATGTGTGAAAATATGAAAGTTTAGGTGTGAGATATGCACAAAAACAACAATAAAACCTTTATCCCACTAAGTGGGGTCGGCTACATGAATCTTTTTTCTCCATTGCGTCCTATTTAGTGTCATATAAATGCCCCAAAATATAAATGTGGCTGATTGATACTCATCAGCGTCAATTGATGTAATAATTTTTGCATATAAGTGATCAAAAGGGTAGAAGTCCCAAAATTATAAATGTTTGAGTTCAGTCAGGCATGGAACAAAATACAGCATACAGTTGAGTTCAAGAGCCACAAACTAGACCTATTAACCATATTGCAAAGAAGCAGGTTTATTATTTAATTTGAAACTGAAACCTCGAATAAAATTTTAATTTAAAATTAAAACTAAGATCGTAATTTTCAATGTCGTGGGATTCCCTTCCGCCAAAAAAGGTGAGCGTACTCTAAGCTAGGGTTGCTTTGGCGCAGCACTCACTTCACGCACCTACGAGGAGTCCATCCAGTAAGATCGGGATAGGGCTTGAAAAGCCGTTGTCTTACGAGGCGTTTTTTATAAACCATGGATAGAAGTTGAATATAACCTTGATTATGAATATGAAACTTCTGCTGAAAATCAAAGCTATTGTTGAGTATGAACTTAAATTTCAAATCAAAACTACAACCCCGGTCATCCCTCATTCACCTAAGAATTCGAGTACCACATCCTACACTTGGAGGGATCGAATCCCAGACTAGAGGGGACTTACAATTGACAAGCAGATACCCGACTAACTGATTTGAGTACACGGCGTATATATATATATGTATACATATACATACATATACATATATA